AGAACCACACCAGGTGTCTTGTTACTAACGCTGCGATTAATAAATCCAAGTGTCCTATTGCCTTATACGAACATTCATGCATTGATCCTTTTGTTTTAAATTCTTACTAATCATAACTCCCGATGTCAATTATACGGTGAATGCTTGGCAAGTACTCTGCTGATCCTCATATATGAGATCGTCAGGGTTTGACCTACCGGGCTGCGTCAGGGTTTGACCTACCGGGCTGCGTCAGGGTTTGACCTACCGGGCTGCATCAGGGTTTGACCTACCGGGCTGCGTCAGGGTTTGACCTACCGGGCTGCGTCAGGGTTTGACCTACCGGGCTGCGTCATAATTTGACCTACCGGTTTGCGTCTGGGTTTGACCTACCTGGGTACGTCAGGGTTTGACCTACCGGGCTGCGTCAGGGTTTGACCTACCGGGCTGCGTCAGGGTTTGACCTACCGGGCTGCGTCAGGGTTTGACCTACCGGGCTTGCGTCTGGGTTTGACCTACCTGTACTCTGCTCTCCGTGAGTCCGATCCTCATAGCCAGCTCCTCCCTCATAAAGATGTCCGGGTAGTGAGTCTTGGTGAAGGAACGCTCCAACTCGTTCAGTTGGGCTGGGGTGAACCGCGTGCGGTGCCGTTTGGGCTTAACGGCCTTGTCTGCTTCAGACCCGAGCCCCATGCCCCCTAGCCCTCCAGACACCTGTTGGGACAGGGAGAGGCATAGTGTGAGTGACATAGTGTGTGAGAGAAGCACAGTATATTGTGCACCCCCATACTCATCCTGTGAGCGGTAGCGCAAAAATGATTACAGAGAGCACAAAGGGTTTTAATCAGACCTCAATGGTGGTTATTCCATTAACAATTACATCTATCCTTCACCCCTTATAATGTCAGCTTACAGAGAGGTCACTTGTCATTTATCTACTGGATGGGAGACATGGATACAGTGCAAGCATTGCAGATATTTTATCATTCGTAACAAAATGGCTTGACATTTCATGTAGCGCGTGCGTTGAAATTTCTCTGAATCGCTCAATTTCGACAAAGTGTGAGATGTAATACTGTGTCCTTGTCTTTGTCCAAACACTTTACAATGTACATCTAGACCGCTAAACGAGCGAACTGGTAGTTAGGGACCTACTGCTAGTGACGTCATGAACTCATATTACAGGTAAAGAATGAGAATTGTTTGGAAAATTTTGCAGACGTCAATGCATAATGTTTTACAATAGAGTTGATATTGCCAGATTCACTCTGGGGGGTTTCTTTGGCACCGTGTCAACTCTCTCTCGTTTCACTCATGCCAACCCTGACCCATCCATGTTGGGTATGTACCAAACAGTAATTAACATTAAAACTTGAGTGACACTAGATCTAATAACACTAAAGGCATACTTACATCTCCAGGTCTGTGAGAGTTAGTATTGGATGACTGAACATCCAGATTAGCCAGCGTGGGCGGTCCACCTGGCTGTTGGTGGTGGGCGTGGTGGGCGTGTGGGTGGGTGTGGGTGTGGGTGGTGGGTGGGGGGGACTCCAGCTGGGTGAGGGAGGGGCCCCCATCACCCCCTGAACCCCCACCACCTGTGGCTTTATTGGTGACATTCTTGTTAAGGTCATCCACCAGGTCCTTGTTCACACCTGCCGGGTGAACAGATGCATAAGGTTAAAATATGTTAGAAAACAGTTAAATTTATTATTAACACATAGGGAGAATGATGATATGAGTTGATATAAGAATGATTAGAAACTGAACTTTTAAAGAACATTGAAGAACACAAACTAGAACAAGAACATGAAGAACTTTAATAACAGCCTGGAAGAACAGTTATAACTATAACAAGAACATGAAGAACTTCAATAACAGCCTGGAAGAACAGTTATAACTATAACAAGAACATGAATAACTTCAATAACAGCCTGGAAGAACAGTTATAACTATAACAAGAACATGAAGAACTTCAATAACAGCCTGGAAGAACAGTTATAACTATCACAAGAACATGAAGAACTTCAATAACAGCCTGGAAGAACAGTTATAACTATCACAAGAACATGAAGAACTTCAATAACATAGAGCTATTACTTAAGCAGCTACAGAGAGCTATTACTTAAGCAGCTACAGAGAGCTATTACTTAAGCTGCTACAGAGAGCTATTACTTAAGCAGCTACAGAGAGCTATTACTTAAGCAGCTACAGAGAGCTATTACTTAAGCTGCTACAGAGAGCTATTACTTAAGCTGCTACAGAGAGCTATTACTTAAGCAGCTACAGAGAGCTATTACTTAAGCAGCTACAGAGAGCTATTAAGCAGCTACAGAGAGCTATTACTTAAGCAGCTACAGAGAGCTATTACTTAAGCAGCTACAGAGAGCTATTACTTAAGCAGCTACAGAGAGCTATTACTTAAGCAGCTACAGAGAGCTATTACTTAAGCAGCTACAGAGAGCTATTACTTAAGCAGCTACAGAGAGCTATTACTTAAGCTGCTACAGAGAGCTATTACTTAAGCAGCTACAGAGAGCTATTACTTAAGCAGCTACAGAGAGCTATTACTTAAGCAGCTACAGAGAGCTATTACTTAAGCTGCTACAGAGAGCTATTACTTAAGCAGCTACAGAGAGCTATTACTTAAGCTGCTACAGAGAGCTATTAAGCAGCTACAGAGAGCTATTACTTAAGCAGCTACAGAGAGCTATTAAGCAGCTATCACTATTACTTAAGGTGTTACTTAAGGCGCGAGAAGTGAGGCGTCAACCAATAAAGTGTTGTGTAAAGACTTTGTGTAATGGTGTCCACTTTATGTGATGAGTTGTGATGTGAGTTTGATGGTTGGGGGGGGGGGGCCAACACCACTGGGGTCCCTCTCCACCACTGGGGGAGCCCCACCACCACTGGGGGGCCCTCTCCACCACCACTGGGCCCCCAACACCACCACTGGACCCCCAACACCACCACTGGACCCCCAACACCACCACTGGACCCCCAACACCACCACTGGGCCCCCAACACCACCACTGGACCACCACCCCCACCACCACTGGACCCCCAACACCACCACTGGACCCCCAACACCACCACTGGACCCCCAACACCACCACTGGACCCCCAACACCACCACTGGACCCCCCAACACCACCACTGGACCCCCACCCCCACCACCACTGGACCCCCAACACCACCACTGGACCCCCAACACCACCACTGGACCCCCAACACCACCACTGGACCCCAACACCACCACTGGACCCCCAACACCACCACTGGGCCCCCAACACCACCACTGGGCCCCCAACACCACCACTGGGCCCCCAACACCACCACTGGACCCCCAACACCACCACTGGACCCCTAACACCACCACTGGACCCCCACCCCCACCACCACTGGACCCCCAACACCACCACTGGACCCCCAACACCACCACTGGACCCCCAACACCACCACTGGACCCCCAACACCACCACTGGACCCCCAACACCACCACTGGACCCCCAACACCACCACTGGACCCCCAACACCACCACTGGACCCCCACCCCCACCACCACTGGGCCCCCAACACCACCACTGGACCCCCAACACCACCACTGGACCCCCAACACCACCACTGGACCCCCAACACCACCACTGGACCCCCAACACCACCACTGGACCCCCAACACCACCACTGGACCCCCACCCCCACCACCACTGGACCCCCAACACCACCACTGGACCCCCAACACCACCACTGGACCCCCAACACCACCACTGGACCCCCAACACCACCACTGGACCCCCAACACCACCACTGGACCCCCAACACCACCACTGGACCCCCAACACCACCACTGGACCCCCAACACCACACCAACCCACCACTGGACCCCCAACACCACCACTGGACCCCCAACACCACCACTGGACCCCCAACACCACCACTGGACCCCCAACACCACCACTGGACCCCCAACACCACCACTGGACCCCCAACACCACCACTGGACCCCCAACACCACCACTGGACCCCCAACACCACCACTGGACCCCCAACACCACCACTGGACCCCCAACACCACCACTGGACCCCCAACACCACCACTGGACCCCCACCACTGGGCCCCACCACCACTGGACCCCCAACACCACCACTGGACCCCCAACACCACCACTGGACCCCCAACACCACCACTGGACCCCCAACACCACCACTGGACCCCCAACACCACCACTGGACCCCCACCACCACTGGACCCCCACCACCACTGGACCCCCAACACCACCACTGGACCCCCAACACCACCACTGGACCCCCACCCCCACCACCACTGGACCCCCAACACCACCACTGGACCCCCAACACCACCACTGGACCCCCAACACCACCACTGGACCCCCAACACCACCACTGGACCCCCAACACCACCACTGGACCCCCAACACCACCACTGGACCCCCAACACCACCACTGGACCCCCAACACCACCACTGGACCCCCAACACCACCACTGGACCCCCAACACCACCACTGGACCCCCAACACCACCACTGGACCCCCAACACCACCACTGGACCCCCAACACCACCACTGGACCCCCAACACCACCACTGGACCCCCAACACCACCACTGGACCCCCAACACCACCACTGGACCCCAACACCACCACTGGACCCCCAACACCACCACTGGACCCCCAACACCACCACTGGACCCCCAACACCACCACTGGACCCCCAACACCACCACTGGACCCCCAACACCACCACTGGACCCCCAACACCACCACTGGACCCCCAACACCACCACTGGACCCCCACCACCACTGGACCCCCAACACCACCACTGGACCCCCAACACCACCACTGGACCCCCAACACCACCACTGGACCCCCAACACCACCACTGGACCCCCAACACCACCACTGGACCCCCAACACCACCACTGGACCCCCAACACCACCACTGGGACCCCAACACCACCACTGGACCCCCAACACCACCACTGGACCCCCAACACCACCACTGGACCCCCAACACCACCACTGGACCCCCAACACCACCACTGGACCCCCAACACCACCACTGGACCCCCAACACCACCACTGGACCCCCAACACCACCACTGGACCCCCAACACCACCACTGGACCCCCAACACCACCACTGGACCCCCAACACCACCACTGGACCCCCAACACCACCACTGGACCCCCAACACCACCACTGGACCCCCAACACCACCACTGGACCCCCAACACCACCACTGGACCCCCAACACCACCACTGGACCCCCAACACCACCACTGGACCCCCACCACCACTGGACCCCCAACCCCCACCACCACTGGACCCCCAACACCACCACTGGACCCCCAACACCACCACTGGACCCCCAACACCACCACTGGACCCCCAACACCACCACTGGACCCCCAACACCACCACTGGACCCCCAACACCACCACTGGACCCCCAACACCACCACTGGACCCCCAACACCACCACTGGACCCCCAACACCACCACTGAACCCCCAACACCACCACTGGAACCCCCAAACACCACCACTGGACCCCCAACACCACCACTGGACCCCCAACACCACCGCTGGACCCCCAACACCACCACTGGACCCCCAACACCACCACTGGACCCCCAACACCACCACTGGACCCCCAACACCACCACTGGACCCCCAACACCACCACTGGACCCCCACCCCCACCACTGGACCCCCAACACCACCACTGGACCCCCAACACCACCACTGGACCCCCAACACCACCGCTGGACCCCCAACACCACCACTGGACCCCCAACACCACCACTGGACCCCCAACACCACCACTGGACCCCCAACACCACCACTGGACCCCCAACACCACCGCTGGACCCCCAACACCACCGCTGGACCCCCAACAACACCACCACTGGACCCCCAACACCACCACTGGACCCCCAACACCACCACTGGACCCCCAACACCACCACTGGACCCCCAACACCACCACTGGACCCCCAACACCACCACTGGACCCCCAACACCACCACTGGACCCCCAACACCACCGCTGGACCCCCAACACCACCACTGGACCCCCAACACCACCACTGGACCCCCAACACCACCACTGGACCCCCAACACCACCACTGGACCCCCAACACCACCACTGGACCCCCAACACCACCACTGGACCCCCAACACCACCACTGGACCCCCAACACCACCACTGGACCCCCAACACCACCACTGGACCCCCAACACCACCACTGGACCCCCAACACCACCACTGGACCCCCAACACCACCACTGGACCCCCAACACCACCACTGGACCCCCAACACCACCACTGGACCCCCAACACCACCACTGGACCCCCAACACCACCACTGGACCCCCAACACCACCACTGGACCCCCAACACCACCACTGGACCCCCAACACCACCACTGGACCCCCAACACCACCACTGGACCCCCAACACCACCACTGGACCCCCAACACCACCACTGGACCCCCAACACCACCACTGGACCCCCAACACCACCACTGGACCCCCAACACCACCACTGGACCCCCAACACCACCAATACAATCTTGAGGACACTAAGCTGCCAATCAAAGTTGAATAAGTGATTGTGCATTGTATCGTTGTGTA